CCCAGCTACTATATGTGAAGGAACAATCGTGTAGTAACGACCCCCGATCAGACCAGTGGTGATTTGACCAGCAACAGGACTGGCAAACAGCAACATACCGATCATAAGAAGGAAGAGTGATGATTTAGCCAACATTAGCTCGGTTATGAAAAACTTGTATCGAATCAATAAGATTAACGTTGACTTATATACACTGTGGAAAGAATAGACTCACTTCCGCTCGTATTGTTTCTAACACGATCATTAAATATTTTACCTTTCAAATACGAAAATCATGAAGACGTCATACTATGATCGAAAAGTTCTTGAATTAAAGTTTTCGTGCTATGCTGATACGCCTCTATATTAATCATATATTTTTACATGAGTTTTAGAAGTCTGAATTCATCCTTTATTAGGCAATGGTGTTTTGATTCATGTGGTTACTCATACTTTATGAGAGCAATTCAAATAAAACTTCTACTTTTAATGCTATATATTTTTGAAAGAGTGAACACTTAAGTATACATGGTACGAGTGTAAAATACATTTCTTTCTCTATAAACTAACTTATATAAATGATACAGACGTTACACACCTTCCGATAACTTCTATTGATATAGCAAAGTACCGTTTATTTTCTTTAAAACATTGAATCGTCTTAAATTGCGCAATCCTGCCAGTTCAACGCTAATTAACAAAGACTTTTGACATTTGCTTTCTTGATCTAATTTAAATTTCGTTGTTCCATTTGCATGATTTCACAGTAATCCGCAAGAAAAATTGAAATCTAATGAAATCTGGATCTTTTATTATTGAATGCTCTCTAGATCACCTCAGCTCTAATCTGAACAGATATTTGAGAAAAGATAACAATAGACAACATTGTATCAATGTCGTCATCTTTATCGATCTCCGTTCAATTTCGCAGTTGCATTCATTTATGTTTCAATTAAGACACTCTCCCCGTTGACTTGTTACAACAAGTGTTTGCGTGTTCACAACGTTACGTCAAAGCATATCAAAAATACAGTTGATAAACCATCTGTATAAATGTGAATAGCATCAGTATCAAAAGCCTGAAAGGTAAGAAAGCATGTTTCAAATTGCCATGCATGAATATAATACTTTATTTTATT